AACCGTTGGTTTACATAAAAAGGAGTCGGAACTTTTCTTCCGTAGCATTAATAGTGGGGATCGGTTCCGGAATCGAGTCTTCGCCCAGTTCTACTGTTCAGTAGGCCCTACCTAGTTGTGAGAATTTAAACGCCAAAGATTTTGAGTTTCACACCATCTCAAGCTCTTTCGAAAGAAGTTCTTTGAATATTTTTTAACGAGTCCAAATAATCTTACGATTTTGAAAGAGCAGATAGTGCATAAAATGTTTTCATCTCACGGTCTTAGTAACTCAAAGCAGCCAAAAATGTCAGATAGAACTTTTGTAATTCTGAGGTAGCGACCTGTCTTCAAATCGTGAGCTCAGTACTATCGTAGACTAATTCCATTTTCCCAGACTTTATGTAAGTCATTGTGTGAACACTGAAATTCTAGTGGACATATCTGGAGTTAGTAGAAAAAACCCTGAAATTCTGCGCAAGGTGGCTATTAAGTGCGCTCATTTTGAACTAAAAGCGGAGTTTCCTCGTTTAGCTTTATTAGTTTTAGTAGAGTTTTAACGTCTCTCGCTACTGCATAAGTTCGTATGAGGGCCAAGGGGTGGATGTCAACAGAGAAGTCCATAGAGGGAATCAGACTTAATCACTTCTCTAGCTTCAACAGCAAAAAGTCTGCATCCCAGAAATAGCAGGTCACAAGAGTGTGACAAACATACAAAAGAAGTAGACGAAAAAAGACGATAGTAAGGATTACAAAAAAGAAAAAGCGGCAATTCCCTGTTGCAGTTCAGGACCAGTTGTGAGAATAACATTGATGAATCAGCCCATTTACAGTTTTACTGAGCATAAGAACATGTTAATGTCCCTCCTTTTGGAAAGGCCTAATGGCACTTTAGTCAGAAGCACCAACCCGGGGGTGGAGCTTCTTTGACAGTCTTAACAACAACTATCATCATCATCATCATCATCATTATCATCATCATCATCATCATCATCATCATCATCATCATCATCATCATCATCATCATCATCATCATCCCACATTTCTCCCTTCGCATAGGCCACCAAGAGGAGCCGCCCACCTGTTTCTATTCTAGCGATCTTCTCTTCGAAACTAAGTTTATGTCAAATAAAGTGATAAGTTTAAGAAAAACAAACCAAACCAAAGCAACTAAAAAGTATGAAAACAAAACAGAGGAAAACGTGTGCTGTGTGGAATGATTCGAATACAATAAGTGTTCAATGTGCGTGTCAGCACCGGTGTCTTCGTTGCTCATTTCACGTAACAAACGCGTTGATCAAAGCACTGCTCTAAATTGATGCATTTACGTTTTCAACTCTTTTTAAAAGAAACTATAACATATAAGACAAGAACGTTAAGGCTGCTTTTTCACATTCTCGGTTTATTTCCCCTATCTTCTTCACTATGAACAATAAGACAACAAAGTAAAGCAATAATACCTACAGACTCATACTGTCGATGATTAGGTCTATAATTAAAAATTTTAAAATCCGATCAAAATTACCAAAAAGAGCAGAAAAATACAGGCTTCTTCGATTTCATTATTTTGACGAGCGCCTGATTCCACCACACTGCGACACAATTATTAACAATTGTAGAATAATAGCTGTACTTATATGGTATATAATGTAATGTTTATTTTTTTAATAAAATATATGTGTATGCGTATCTGGGTGTGTGTGTGTGTGTGTGTGTGTGTGTGTGTGTGTGTGTGTGTGTGTGTGTACGTGTGCTAGTGTGCGTGTTTTTGTGTGTATATATGTAGCCTATGCACGTAATCACGAAAATTGCCTCTTGACCAGGGGACAGTGGTCAAGCAGTGAACATCGATATAAAGACTCTGAGTGACGCGGAAAAGACCAAGTACAACTTGGGATGGGCAGCGAACAGCTTCAACCAGTACATTAGTGACAAGATGTCTATAAGACGTTACCTGCCGGACTGTCGCAGCTCAGCGTAAGTTGAAAACAAGGCCTTTCATGACAGTGAAGCAAATACTATAGTATTATTACCTGTATAAAAGAGTTCAGTTTATCCAACGTCTGAGGGCAAAGCCGTAAAATACCCTTTGGATGTTTCCCTTGGCCTCCCCCCCGCCCCCTCCTTCAACTTTCCCTTCCCCACAACCCACTTGTCAGTTGTCTTGGGGTAGAAAGCCATTACGCTCCGCCCCCTTCTCTCTGTTTGTCTGTCTGTCTGTCTGTCTGTCTGTCTGTCTGTCTGTCTGTCTGTCTGTCTGTCTGTGTCTGTGTCTGTGTCTCTGTCTCTCTCTCTCTTTTCCATTGGGTTTTAAGTTTGAGAGAGCAAGT